TGTCCACCATCGTCAGTGTCTACCACGAGCAGTGTCCACCACGGGGAGTGTCCACCACGTGCAGTGTCCACCATGGACAGTGTCCACCACGGGGAGCGTCCACCATGGACAGTGTTTACCACGGGCAGCGTCCACCACGAGCAGTGTCCTGCACGTGCAGTGTCCACCACGGACAGTGTCCACCACGGGCAGTGTCCACCGCGTGTAGAATGCATTATGGACAAAGTCCACCATGGGTAGTGTCCAACCCATGGGCATGAAGCTGAGCGTAAAGACCACGTGGTGTTTCATGGACACACTCAGTCTTCACGTTCACAGTCCGTCATATGCTCGATGTCACCAATACCACGTGACCCTCCCTCACTGAGCCTCTTCTAATAAACAGCTCCTCCCACCGTGACCTCACCATCAGACGCTTTACTCGGTGATGCTGCTCCTACTGCTCCTGCTGCTCCTGCTGCTGTTGCTGCGTTGGCATTGGCGCAAAGTCACACAAAAAAACCAAAGAGAATAACTCACCATGACCTAAATAGGACACGCATCGAGCACAGGCAACGTTTCGGGAAAAATCTCTTTTTCGGGCAATTGTCTGAAACGTCGCCGATGTTATCATTGTTTTTTGTTCATGTGAAGGCAACAGTTTTATCGACGAACGCGGAAGCCATCGTGCACATGTTTTTTTTTACCTAGGCACTCACAAAGTTTCAAGGTAAACATTTGGTAGCTATTGCTACCAGAGGTAGAGCATGGAGGCTGTTATCTGCCCTGGCGTTCCTCAAAAGATGCAGATATTTAAAGGCAATAACCACACATGCGGTTATAGTGAACACTGTCATCACATCGACCTCTCTATTTAAGGAACGAAACAGGAGGATTTCTGAAGCTGGTTTTAATGAATGGCGAAACGTCGTGCTCAGATTGTAAATGTCGTGGCTTTGCTCCACAGCACACCGGTGGTGCTGTGCTGTTTGTTGTTGTGACGTCCTGACTCGCCCCGACTGGCGATTTGTGAAAACGAGCTTCACAGCTCATCGGATTCTTACAGCACAAATACATATTCTGATTCTTCTTCCTCTTCCACTTCTCTTCTTCTTCTTCTCGCATCCAAACATCCCAATGATATCGCAGGACCCTCTCGAAATGGAGTCTTGAGACTCTTTAAGAATTATAAATATAATGCCACGGCTAAATCGCATTGTTCTCCCTGCTCTAATCAACAACGAGCCGGCACTCAGCTCCACTTGACGGCCCTGAGGCCAGCCGTGGAAATTCCACATTCCCGTGTCCATGTATACGGTACATCCACAGTACGAGGAAAGTGGGTAATTATTACTCATCATCGTCATCATCGTCATCATCATCTTGTTGCCATCAACGGGCAGGATCAAGCCACGGGCATCGCCGTCACACCCCCCCCCCCCTCCCGCGCGATCCAACAATCCACCCAGCACATGCACACGGGCCAATTCTATCGATTCCATCGCTCCATCTCCTCGTGAGGACGCGCGCTTTGGGACGCCTCCCATCCCCTTGAGCGAAGCGATCTTGCTGATGCAAAAAACAATGCATTGGGCGCGAGATGTAGCAGTACACCTCAGCGATTCCATCGCTCCATCTCCTCGGCGGGCTAACCCTCCCCCCCACGTGAGACGACTCGCACCCCCCCCGCACATTCACCAATCCCCGGAAGGTTTCATTGATCATCATCGGTGGGGGGGGGGAGGCTTGCGGCGTCCTGTGGGAGCGGGTCTCGCATGGTGACGGCCACGCATCACGGAGCAACAGATGCGGCCAGGCGAGGGCGAGGGGCATTTCCCCGGAGACCCCCGCCCCCCCCCCCCCCCCCCCCTGACTCTCTCCACAGATCTCACTCCTCCACCGAAGCCCCCACGCTTCTCGCCGCCCACGCCGCCTCCTCCCCACCAACAAGACGAAGCCATCACCCCGCGTAGCTTGAGCAGGCGAGCGCACGTTGCTGTTAGCGAGCACCTGCGAGGGACACGCGGGCACGCGGCCAGCGCTGCGCTACGAAACACGGCCACCCGAGTTCGATTCCCGCTCGAGGCCAACAACACCAGTGACGATTATCTGAACCGGTCATGGGCCTCCCCTAGGTCGACTCAGCCCTCAAATGGGTACCTGCTGCGGTGTGTAAATGTCACCACTGGGGAGACAACGGCGGCCGGGCGTGGCTCTGGCCCACCCACCCCCTCGTGTGCCGTGCCGGCCTTCGTTGATGCTCGCTAACAGCACTTGCCCCAACCGTCTGTTATAGGCTATACGGGAGATCTTTGTTTTGTTATTGTTGTTGGATAGCACCACAGACCACTCACCCCTCAGCTGACATCACTCACAGACCCCCGACGAGTGGGGGGGGGGGGTCGAGAGGGGTCAGAGAGGAGCCGTGATTGTGGTGCTGTGACGCGGGCGGTGGTAAAAAAAATGTTTTTGTAAAAACCTGGCTTGCGGTGCAAAGGAAACGCGCGCAACTTAAATGAATCTCTGAATCTATTGTTACAACGAGGGTGTTAATTAGCAGTCTCATGGGACGGAGCTAAATTAATTGAGGGATGTTTTCTGCCCCCTCCCCCCATCCACCATCCACGTTATTAATTGTTCAAAATTTCATCAGGGCCGATGAAATCACGTGGCGACACGCAGCGCATTGGATCCACTAAAGTTACATTCAGACCCCCGCTCCCAGATACACTGCAACAAGGCACACGTTCTGGCTCACCTTCAGGGCCCCGCGGTGGCGAGGTGGTTACTCCCTCACCTGGGATACGAAGAGGGCCGTGGGTTCGATCCCTGACGCCTGCTGTATGTTTGGAGTTTGCACGTCTCTGTCTCTCTCTCTCTCTCGCTCCACGCGGTCACGTGGATTTTTCTCCGGGTCCTCCTGGTTTTATTCCCCTCCACGTTTAGAATCGGCATGCGTTTAGACTTTAGAGTATTTGGTCGCCATACATTTCCACGTGATAGGCCACTTCGTTCATTTGTGGCGAGGTCGCTTCTGTATAAGCATAATAGTTAGTCGTATTGTCTATTGTATTATGTTAACCTTCATCATCACCAGCCATGGCCAATCCACTGCTGGATGAAGGCCTTCCTCCCTTCCCCGAAGCTGCTGCCATCTCCTGCGATAGATTCCAGCTCTGTTAAGCGATGCACCCACGGGCAGCTGCAAGCTCCATCTCCACGGGGGACGTCCCATCGGACTCGTTCCGTCACAATCGCTCTCGCGGTTATAAGCGAAGGTGAGCTGGCATTGAGCCATTGGCGAAAATTCGACATTTATTTGACGCGTCCGGCAGTCATACCAAAAAGGGCAAACTCCTTTCGGTGTGACTTCTCCCCCACGAAGCGAGACCCGTCTTGTCGGCCCTGCCGGGCTGATGGGTTGTAGCGACCCCCACCGAAGCAGGTACTTGGAACCGTCCAATCGCGAATCGACCAACGCTAGAAGCACCGAACCACTGAGCCCGGGCCCTTATAGTCTCTTTTCACTTCACAATGTTCCGTTGTTTGTTTTATTTATTTATTTCCATGGGTTAGCCCACGGGGTGGCGCGCGGAGGCGTTGGTGGGGGGTGGGGGTGGGCCCCGGAGAACCTTTGGGAGCCGCTTGTTAATTCTTAATTGTTGCGAGCGGCGTGATGATTGGAGTCACCCGACAAGAGACACGGGGATGGAGTGGGGGTAATAGGAGGGAGAATGGGTGGGGGTGAGATTGTGGGAGGGAGAGAGGTGACGAAGTGAGATACGTGAAAAGGCGAAATGTGGTGTGGAGGTGATACCCGTGGTGGTGACGGTTGCGCTTGCGGTGAGGTTGTTGTTGTTGTTGGTGGTGGTAGTGGGAGGTCGTTGCATCACGAGACGGCGAGAGATGACGACGGCTTAGGAAATCCTTCATCCAGCAGCGGATTGATCATGGCTGACGATGATGACGACGACCACAACAACACCATCAACGCTCGCAGTCGAAATCCCAACGGTGGCCGCGGTGGCTTCAAGTGCTAACGAAGTGGTGATGTCACTTTTGTAATTACAATGCCGCTCCCTCAAGTAGCAGTAGTTAGTAGTGCATTGTCTCTGGGCTACGGGCCATGACAATGCGCTCTGCAGCACAGCGGTGTGGGTTTTTTTTTTTTGGGGGGGGGGTCTGGCTACTCGGATGAATTCTTAATTGCTCCCGCACAATGACGATGCGACCCAATGCTCCAGGGATGGATTTCGCTTTGTCTGTATATCTGTGTCCATCTTTATCCGGTGAGGAGCGGTAGTGTAGCGGTTACCACGCTGTGGCGACCCGGGTTCGATTCTCGCTCACGGCCAACACCGGTGACGATGACCTGAACCGGTCCTGCGCCTTTCCTAGGTCGACTCAGCCTCAAATGAGTACTTGGCGCGCTGTGTAATCATCGCCACGAGGGAGACACCCACCCCCTCGTGCGCCGTGCAGGCCTTCATAGGTGCTACTCCCTAACATCACTTGCCCCAACAGTCTGTTAAGGCTATACGGGGGGATCTTTGTCTTTGTATTTCCCTTTGTCTGTACCTCTGATTCTGTCTTCATCTAGGCCTGTGTCTGTCTGAGCAAATTATCAGTGCCCACCACAACTTTACGATTTAACCCCCACCCACCCCCTAACCCCATCCCCCTTCTCCCCCCACCCCACTCCCTTCCACCATGTCCTGCCTGTGGACTACTCGGTTCGTACGAAGAGACTGTCGAGGGGGGAGGGGGGGTCATGTTCTGTGTTAGCGAACACCCATTAAGGCACACGCCTTCCGATGCGTGATCGCCGGGGGAGAGAGGGGGGGGGGGCTCTCTCTGGCTCGGTGTGGCCACTTCGACACGGCCACTGTGAACCAACCCCCCGACGGAGCCGCGTGCCCACCCCCTTCGACACCGCCCAAGCGGCGTCGTGACGACATGAGCAGCTTACGGGGGGGGGGGCGGGCGGGGGGGGGGGGGCGATCGGTCACGTGCCCCCTCCGACTATTTGATTTGTCTCTCGCACGGTCGCACCTAGAGGCTATTTCTGTATCGCGGCTCCATCTCGCCCAATCGCATCGTCGTTCCGCTCACGGTCTCGAACATTTAACGCTGTAAGGGGCGCTCCTCCGTCTTCGCAAAATGCAGCCACCTACAGCTCTGCAGTGCCTCTTTGCAATATTACGTTACCGCTATAATTGAATTAACATAAAAGTGGAACGTGCATGAAATACTTTTCATTAAATAAATAGACATTTGAACCGCGTTTTAAATAAGGTTGTGTTCTTTTACACTGTTGTTGAAAACAAATCTCAGGGTGGTTGTCAAATGGGGCCCCCCCCCAACTCGTAGCTTTGACCACCAGGTGGGCGGGGGTGTGGGGGACAAGCCACACCCCCTGCCCCCCACGCTGCTGACGGGACTGGCACTGCCACTGTTTGTACGACGTTACACTCAGCGCTGCGCTGTCTCGCTTCCGTCGGTGCGCGTTGCACACACGCAGAGAGGAGAGATCCTGACGTGGTGGTGGTGGGTGGGGAGGGGATTCGTGATTTCGTCTGCAATATATTTTCTGACCGGTTGGGCATGCACTTCCCTCGGCCGAGCGTGCGAGCGAGCAGCAGTCGAGAAAGGGGAGAGAAAGGAAGAGCGAACAGAAAGAGGAGGAGACAGAGAGAGAGAGACGGCGGTATAGCGGTAGCGGCAGCGGAAGGAGCAGCAGGAAGAAGAGGAGAGAGACGGCATTCAGAGGGAGGGGAGAGAGCGGAACGGAGGATCGAGGAGGAGAGAGGTTGGAGAGAGAGAGCGTGGGTTGGGTGGGTGGTTTGGGGGTGGTCGGGGAAGCGATTGAAGAGTGATTTGAGGGAGATACAGGGAACGCGACGACATTCAGGGAACGGAGAGCGAGATATAAGAGGTGGAGAGGAGGTAGGCACAGTGAGAGGGAGAGAGAGGGGGGGGGGAAGGAAGGAGAGAGCGCCCTTCGATTCGTAACGCGGGTTCGCTCCTCTCGGCGGCGTCAAGGCCACACCCTGCCTGGTACCCGCAGACGGAGATCGGGCGGAGAGAGAGAAGGAGATCGAGCGGAGAGAGAGAAGGAGATCGAGCGGAGAGAGAGATCAGGCGGAGAGGGAGATCGGGCTGAGAAGGAGGTCGGGCCGACACGGACGAGCAAAGCGCCCAGAGCTGGCGGTGAAAAGCGACGGAAGGACCGAAGCAAAGGAACGAGACGGAACAGATCCCGGTGGTGTCATTCATTCTTCAATCAATTCATGCAATTATTCATTCTTTGCATTCATCTGGTTTTTGCCGTTAATTTGTAATGTGTTTTATGGGTCATATGTAGTGGTAGAAATATCAATATATATGTATTTAATAACGATGCGGTGTTAAATATTAAATGATACATGTATTAAATCCACAGCGTCGGTTTTAAGATTATTATCATTTCAGTAAGATGATTATTTTTTCAAGCGTCCTCATTTTGACATAAATATTTGTGCCTGTGCATGCACGTGCATTGTAATTATCTTCACCGTTATTATAATGATGATAATGATGATGATTTTGCTTATTTGCCGGTGAATGCAATGGGCTTTGTATGCCCCCCGTAGAGACCTCTGGCTCCATGCATGATCTCTGCGCTCACCAATCCTCGCCCAGAATTCGGCGACCTCGGTTCACAGCGCCAACCTAGTCGCTTGCTGCACCCTCAACCAAGACCCCCGACCCATCATCACCATCACCACCATCACCACCGACATCATCATCATCACATTGTCACCTCCACTGCGGAGCCGGCGAGATTTCCAACGAGCAATGACCCTGCTGATTTGAAATATACTCTTTGTTTGCCAGCGGGCGCCTAGCTCCGAGCCCGTGTTCACTTATTCATCCACTCATTCGTTCCCTTCGCTCCGAGCCTCTCTCTCTCTCTCTGGCTTTGGGCTGCGCATGGAGACCCGCGTGGACACGAAGTGATGGAGGGAATGAGGCTGAGGGGTCTGTGGGACCTCTTGGTCAGGCCCACAGAGGACTTGATGACGTCCCTCGACTGAGCTACGGGGACCTCATCTGCTCCGGCTCCTCGATCGGTCACTCCGTCCTCTGCATCCGGCTCCTCCTGACGATCTCACCGACCGCGCTACCAGTGTTGGTTTAGCTGCGCCTGCCTTGTCTGCTGGTGCCAGTTTACTCGTGGGGTGTGTGAGCCGTGGCTCCGACCGTCATGCTGCTGGTGCTGGCACTGCCGCCGCTTCCGGTGCGTTGAGGCTGCCCCATCTGCTGGCAACGCCACAGGCTCCGCTGGGTAACCGCTCTCGCTGCGACTCCTGGGACCCGCGTGCTCCCACGGAGCTCCCTCCTTCCTATTGACGGCGCTCGTGGGGGTGGTTTTGCCTTCGTCCGCCTCTGTCTTTGCCACCGCCCGCCTCTGCCCGCCCGAGCCGCCATGCCCATCGCCGCCGGAGGCCGCGGGACAGACGCGGCGGCCGCCCACACAGGGCGGGCGGCGCAGCAGCACCGCGTGCGGTAGCGCCAGGGGTTGTTGGACTCCAGAAGCAAGGAGCCGCGACGGGTTCCAGGTTCTCCCTCCACCCACCCCCCACCCACCACCATCCACCACCACCCACGAGTCCACACCGCCACCACCGCCAACCACCACCCTCCCACTAGCCTCCTAGATAGAATCTCACGGCGCCAACAAAGAAATCACCGCCATCGACGCCACCGGAATCCTCCACGGCTTCTCACGACCCAAAAGTAGTAATCCGGCACCACCACCACCGCCACCTTGCCCAGCAGCCCGCCCAGCGCCGATGATAGACCACCTGCCCTTGACCATGGCCGCCAAGTCGGACGGGCTCGCCGTGCCGTGCCCTCCCAACACGGACCCCGGCGCGCTGGCGCTGTCCGTGGTGCTGCCCGCGGACCCCGCGGCTGCCGAAGCCGCCGCGGGACCCGCGCCCGCGCGTACCGACAAGGCGGAGGGCGGAGCCCACGGAGCCCACGGCGCCGGCCCGGCCGGCTGCTGCGGTTGCTGCGCTCCGCGCTCGGGGCTGCCGCCCAGCCCCGTGCCCTACTCGGCGGCCGACCTGGCGTGGGGCCTGTGCGGCCTGCTCACTCTGCTGCTGGACGCGGGCACGGACGCGTGGCTCTCGGCCGAGTACCTGGCGAGCCGGCAGTACTGGTGGTTCGGCCTCACGCTCTTCTTCGCCCTGGCGCCCTCGCTGGTGGTGCAGGCGTTCAGCTTGCGATGGTTCGCCCAGGACTTTCGCCTCGGGGCGACCGGCAGCGCGACCGCCGCCACCGCCGGTCGGTGCGGTGCGGTGCCCGGCGCGGACGGGGCAGCGGCCGGGCCGGCGGTGGCGGCCGGCGGCGGCGGCGGGGAGGCGGCGGGGACGGCGGCGCCGCCACCACCCCCGCCGCTAACCACGGCGTCGGCGTCGGCTGGAACGGCGAGCGCGGGGGAGCGGTGCTACCGGGGTCTGGTGTGGGTGTTCCAGAGCGTGGTGCATCTGCTGCAGCTGGGACTCGCGTGGAGGTGAGCGTAGCTGCTGGAGTGCAGCGAGAAATTGCGCGATGTGTGCGTCGGGGTATGGCCCTTCGTGTGTGTTTTTGTGTGTTCAGGTTGTTGTCTAACCCCCCCTCCCTCCGCACCGCACCTCCGATGAGCACGATTGGCAACGTGCGGTGCAAAAAAAAAAGATAAGTTCTGCGTACAGTGTATACAACGAACGGTGCATACAAGTCATGCGAACTTGCTGCAGGTCTCTCTGTTCCTCCTCTCTGCTCTGAAAATGGCCCATTGCCCGAGAAACGTCGGTCTGTTGTGTTTGTTTTTTGTTGTTGTTTCTTTGTTGTGAAGAAGCGGTGGTTTTGTGATTGTGTTAATTTATTTAAAAAAAAACACATTTGCTTTGCTTTGCTACGAACATATGGCGGTGTGGTTCTTTCACACGGAGAGATGTTGCGCGTTATTTGTGTGCCATTTACGCTGACTTCTTTAACAACAACAACAACAACAACAACAAAAAGCATCAACTCTGAGGTGGCTCCGGCTCTGGCTGTTCGAGAGACCACAGAGCCGCTGAGATCGTCGGCTCGAATCCCGAATCTCAGTCGTCCCCGGGTTAAACAGAGTTTCTCAAGTCGAGCGAGTTTTGACGGTCAGTCATTACCGCAAACAACGATTTACACATTGGGGTTGTTTGGTTTTTTTGTTACTTCACAGAATAAAGCAGTTACCATTTGGTTCGTCTTCCACGGAAGGAATATCGATCCATCGATCTGCTCCGTAGCAGGGCGCATTGGAGAGTGCGGCGCCCCCTAGTGTGCGCGAGGTGTCGTCTTGCAGGGGGACTCGGCCGTGTTTCTGTGACATCGCCTTACGCGGGCATTTTATCCCAACACAGGAGGTTCTCGCCGTTATTCGTCTCGTGCCATGACACCGATAGCACAACCGGAGAAGAAGACGAAGAAGAGGAAGAGATGCAACGCTTTGAGAAACGCAGTAACTCGCTTTAGCCCTCATTTAACAACGACAGCAGCAGCAACAACAACAGCAACAACAGCAACAACGACGGTTTGGCGAAGTCGGGTGCCACTCGAAGTAGCCGATCGTCTCATTTCATGGCCACCTCACTGAGCCCGCATCATCATCATCATCGTCGCGTCTCCGCGGCGTCTCGCACAGGCCGTGGTGACGAGTTCCATTTAACACACGTGGGCCTCCACCCCGCGCCCCAGCAGTCGGCCCGCGCGTGGTCTCCTGAGTGTCCTCGTGTATTTGGGTAGATATCGCGTGTGCAGGCGCTGCAACTGCTACTGGGGTCCACAGCCCCCCGGGGGGGGACTCAGGCTCTGGGCTATGGAGAAAGGGGGGCGGGAGTTTTGGGGGGGGGGAGCGGTGTGAGAGTAGAGGGGGGGGGGTGCAAAGTCATTGGGTCACAGGGCACATCAGACCGCTGACCTTGAGCAGAGTTGATTCGAAGTGTGGCCTCACAAGTTTTCAGGGTGGACGTTTCCCTGGGCGATGGAATGCTGCTTTGTTTTCTAATTTCGAGTAAATCAGCCCAAATCTCATCAGATCTGGGAAGCTCAGTGGCAGGATTCTGAGCCTGGTGGTTGCTTGCGTGAGTGACTGCTGTTCCAGGCCTCGGCTGCGATGCGGCCAGATGAAAGGACAACAGTGGATTCTTTAATCTGTCTGTGCGGAGCTGTTTGTGTTGACCTCTCGTATGCCTTGGTGGAGGTTCCCCAGGGTTCTCCGGTTTCCTGCAATAAAAAAATAAATGACGAACATTCTTTTTTTTATATATATAATTGGCCAAACATCGCCGTAATGAAGCAGCGCCCTCCTCAAAAAGGAGACGTGAGATTTCATTGAGAATTTAAGGCAGAAATGACATCATCATCACCACCACCACCGTGATGGGCGTGCTCCAACCTGCAGTGCCAAGCAGGATTGTTGCTATAGCGATTGTTGCTATAGTGATGGTTGTTGTAGTGATTGTTGCTATAGAAATGTTCGTTACGGTGATAGTTGTTGCAGTGTCAAGCAGGTCTGTTGTAGTGTAGTGATTGTTGTTGTTGTTCTAGTAATTGCTGTTACGGTCATTGTAGTGGTGCTTGTTATAGTGGCGGCAGTTAGCTTTGTTCTCCTCGTGGTGGTGGTGGTGGTAGCGGTACTGTGAGGTGTCGTTTAGCAGGGAGTACGGCGGTGGTGTAGCGGTTCGTGAGCTGTCCCACGAACTCGGCAACCAGAATTCGATTCCCGCTCACGGCCAACACCAGTGACGATTATCTGAACCGTTCCTGGGCCTCCCCAAGGTCGACTCGGCCTCAAATGAGAAACCTGGTGCGATGTGTAAACATCACCACTGGGGATACAGAGGCGGCCTTGAAAGGTTTCGCTAACAGCACTTGCCCCTATAGTTTGTTAAGGCTATACGGGGGATCTTTGTCTTTGGTAGTGGTGCCAGGTAGGATTGTTGTTGTAGCAGTGGTGGTAGTGGTGATGGTTGTGGTGCCAGGCAAGATTGTTGTGCTTAGAAGTGGTGATAGTGGTGATGGTTGTGGTTCCAGGCAAGATTGTTGTTGTAGTTGGTGATAGTGATGATGGATGTGGTGCCAGGCAGGACTGTTGTTGTAGTAGTGGTGATAGTGATGATGGATGTGGTGCCAGGCAGGATTGTTGTTGGAGTAGTGGTGGTAGTGGTGATGGTTGTGGTGCTAGGCAGGAGTGTTGTTGGAGTAGTGGTGGTAGTGGTTGATGATTGTGGTGCTAGGCAGGAGTGTTGTTGGAGTAGTGGTGGTAGTGGTTGATGATTGTGGTGCTAGGCAGGATTGTTGTTGTAGTAGTGGTGATAGTGGTGATGGTTGTGGTGCCAGGCAGGAGCGTTGTTGGAGTAGTGGTGGTAGTGGTTGATGGTTGTGGTGCCAGGCAGGAGTGTTGTTGGAGTAGTGGTGGTAGTGGTGATGGTTTTGGTGCTAGGCAGGAGTGTTGTTGGAGTAGTGGTGGTAGTGGTTGATGATTGTGGTGCCAGGCGGGATTGTTGTTGTAGTAGTGGTGATAGTGGTGATGGTTGTGGTGCCAGGCAGGAGTGTTGTTGGAGTAGTGGTGATAGTGGTGATGGTTGTGGTGCTAGGCAGGAGTGTTGTTTGAGTAGTGGTGTTAGTGGTTGATGATTGTGGTGCCAGGCAGGAGTGTTGTTGGAGTAGTGGTGGTAGTGGTTGATGGTTGTGGTGCCAGGCAGGAGTGTTGTTTGAGTAGTGGTGATAGTGGTGATGGTTGTGGTGCCAGGCAGGAGTGTTGTTTGAGTAGTGGTGGTAGTGGTTGATGATTGTGGTGCCAGGCAGGAGTGTTGTTGTAGTAGTGGTAGTGGTTGATGGTTGTGGTGCCAGGCAGGAGTGTTGTTGGAGTAGTGGTGGTAGTGGTTGATGATTGTGGTGCCAGGCAGGAGTGTCGGGCAAGCAGTGGTCGATCCCTGTGTGGCAACCGATTGGCTGAGGTGGCCTCGCCACCCTGAGACGGTGCTGAAAATGTGTCCCGTTTCACCATCGCGCTCTGCGTTCACTTCCCACAAGCGAATCACCCTCCCAGGCCTCTCTCGCAACAACAACAAAAACAACAACAACAAAAATCCACGTCCGTCTCGATGGGCTCTCGCCTGGTGGCCACATAAGAGGAAGGCGCAGCGGTCGGTGGCATTGCGGTCTTGAGGTCCAGCGAAGCCCCCGGGTTCGATTCTAGGCCAACGGATAAACGACGAGTGAGTACATAGCGACATCCGAGACGCTCCTGAGCCCCCCCCACCCCCACCCCTATGACCAACAAAGCCTAAGCCTACAGGGGAGTCCATTATCCAGCTAGGGATCGCCAAAGTGCTGCACATTTTATTCATGATTATGTTATGAATGGGGTATTTTCCTAAATGTTTCAATATTGCACAATTCTGTATGCAGTAACCGTGACATTTCGTGGGCCGATTTATCTACTGGACCTCTGTGGAAAAAAGAGCATTATAGCTCATCGGATTCTTCTAGTATGAATATATATTCTGATTCTGATATGTATCGACCATAAAATACACTTTTACGCCAAATTTTATGGGGGAGATGGGTGCGGCATCTTGCAGAAGGTAGGGGAAGTTCACTTTTAGCTATGATATTGTTGTTGCCGCAGATAGTGGCTTCTGCAAAGGCACGAACCTAGGCCCCTCCATCAGTGGACGTTCGCAGCCACTGCGGGTTGTAATCACGGATGTGCTGGGGGGCTCGTCTCTGGGTTCGCACGAGTTTGTACTTCGCAGCAGAATTTGCAACAGAATTCTGTCGACCCCATTTTGCCCATTCGCTGCATCTATTTGTTTACATGTTTTGTGTGTTCGCGATCGTTGCGCAGCACTTCCCTTGACGAAGGGATGCTCGCGGCCCCGTCTGGTGTGCTTGGTTGTAAACAAAAAAGCAGCAGGTTAAAATTTCCGTGGGTGAGGAATGGGGGGCGGGGGGGGGAACAAACAACCCCCTGACAATTCAGCAAAATTCATCACAGCGATATCACTCGTTGCCTTCCCACCAAATGCTGGCGGACAGTGATTTTTCCACAGACACATGAGTTTAATCCCATTTGTGTCAACTGGCTCTCTCTCGCCTATCTTCTTTGGTTCTTTCGGTAAAGTCACGTAGAATGAGAATAAAATCATAAATTGATAAAATAAAATAACACAATAATATTCTCACGACGTTTCGGCCACAACACAAGCGGCCTTCATCAGGTGAAGGGACGAGACTGTCTGGTAGGACAGGGACGAGACTGTCTGGTAGGACAGCGCTGTCCTACCAGACAGTCTCGTCCCTTCACCTGATGAAGGCCGCTTGTGTTGTGGCCGAAACGTCGTGAGAATATTATTGTGTTATTTTATTTTATCAATTTATTATTTTATTCTCATTCTACGTGACTTTACCGAAAGAACCAAAGAAGATGAATCATTGCAGTCACGAAAGCTTTAAATCGAAATCTCTCTCGCCTAGTTAAACGCAGGCGACTGACCGCGGTATCTCCCCTCCCCCCCTCCCTCCCTCCCCCACGCCGTCGCCTCCCGCGTTGAGCGAGACGGTGGTGGTTAGTCGCGATTCTTCGTTATCTTTGGCTCAATATCTACGGGTCGATGACTTAATTCGCAAGCAGCTGCGAGAGCCCGCTTTCGATGAGACGTGTCCCGAGTTCAAGTGGAGGTTCCGCAGCGAAGTCAGTAGGACGGCGCAGGAGCACAAACAATCGGAGCGTACGGCGAGAGACGTTTGTCGAATATTTTGGTGCGAATCGGTGGTGAGCGGGCAAGCCGGTGCGCCAACGGAGCCTCCCGATCCACCTCCTGCTCCTCCTCCTCCTCCCGCCGCTCCTCTCTCGCTCCGTGGCTTCGCCGTTCGGCGACTCGGCCGCTGAGCAGGGAAACTCGCAACGCAACTCACGGGGGGGGGGGGCTCGCGTCAATGCGCCGCGAGCACCGAACTCCCCGCGGCGCAGCAACTCCCACCCCGCTCTAACAGCCCGCGTGCTCCAACGCCCGCGTGCTCCAACGCCCGCGTGCTCCAACGCCCGCGTGCTCCAACGCCCGCGTGCTCCAACGCCCGCGTGCTCCAACGCCCGCGTGCTCCAACGCCCGCGTGCTCCAACGCCCGCGTGCTCCAACGCCCGCGTGCTCCAACGCCCGCGTGCTCCAACGCCCGCGTGCTCCAACGCCCACCCGCTCCAACGCCCACAACGTTCCAGCGCCCTGACTCCCAAGCGCCGTACCCTCCACGTGCTAATTGGGCGCCTTGACACCTCCGGCGCTCGAACGTCCGCGCAACAATTGCGCGCTGACGCTTACGCCGCGCCGGTGAACGCTGCCCGGCACCACAGCCATCACCACTCGCGTCCTGCCCGGCACCACAGCCATCACCACTCGCGTCCTGCCCGGCACCACAGCCATCACCACTCGCGTCCTGCCCGGCACCACAGCCATCACCACTCGCGTCCTGCCCGGCACCACAGCCATCACCACTCGCGTCCTGCCCGGCACCACAGCCATCACCACTCGCGTCCTGCCCGGCACCACAGCCATCACCACTCGCGTCCTGCCCGGCACCACAGCCATCACCACTCGCGTTCTAACGCTCGCGTGGGTGGGCGCGTGCGGGTCCCGCCGATATTTGCGCGCAGGAAAAAACAACAACCTTGCGGGTATAGTCCATCGCCAACCTTGCCCAACGACAATCACGACGACGTTCACGACGACGCCGACGATCTGGGTACCGACATCGGTGAGCCGAACGCCGCTGCCAGATGACGAGGAGACGGAGTGTTCACCACCCACCCCCCTCTCGAATGAGGCGCTCGTTCCGTGGGAAACCCCGGAGAGACACGAGGCCCTGAACCCCCCCCTCCACCCCCCGCCCCCCGCCCCCTTGTTAGCCCGTGATTGTTCACGTTAGAGGAGTTTAACCGAGACCCACTTTCTAAGGGGCTCACGATGTGCGACATTCGAGAGACAGCCAGCGCTGCGGAGATCCTCGCTGCAAGACTGCTGGTTTCTTTCTCTGCACGGGGTTCATAATGGCCGTGGCGAGAGACGCCGTGACCTAGAAATGCCATCTTTTTCGCAGACTTAACGCGAACATATCTCGCGGTGAGCCTGTTACGTGTATCGTCCAAACCGTGCATCGGCGCTGTAACGAAGTTCGACGCAGCAATGCCCGACGCCAGAGCTCTCCAAAGTACAAAACCAATTCCTGCCACCCGAAATCGGACGCCAATTCCGTCCCCTTGCGACCGTATCTCCA